GCTTGAAATCTAAAATATAGTTTCAACAAAGATAACTCGATAACTCGAGTCACAAGCGTTCCTTACGCCAAAAAAGGAAATGAGCTAACAGAGTACCAGCCGAAAAGGCATTAAGAAAAGAGCAACAGAACTTAGCAACACGATGCAAAAGATAAGAGTTCGGTGGGAAACATAGCATCCACCCGTTACGAAATAAAGAAAATAAAAGGTCACAAGGGGGAGAGAGGGCCGACATCAAGGGCCATCGCTAATCTCCTGAACGTCGTCTTCCTGAGCACTCGTATTGACACTCGTGTTGGTTCCGAATTCATCGAGAGTGAAACTGTCGGGAAGCAAGAGTTCAAGCTGGAACAACTCGAGTTCAGGGATCCTCGCTTCAGCCTCCTTAAGCTTCTTCAGAGCATTGTCCTATAAAAAAAAAAAACAACAGAATGTGGTGAAGTAAGGCAAGGCGTTGTACTAAAACTAAATATTAAGAACAGGGAGGAACCTTGTCGAGGGATACTACCGAGAGCTCCGCTGGAAAATCGGTGATCTCACCCTTGATAATCTCCTCAAGGAGCTCGAAATTAGCCTTAGTCTCGGAAGCTTTAACCAAATGTTCATGAACGGCGTCACGACCAACGAGATGAGACTTGACTTGTTCGAGAGCTGCCTTAAACTTATCAGCAAGATCCTTGCGCCCTGAACTGACGGCAATCTTCACTTCTAACTCGCGATGTCCGATGTAAGCTTTGTACTTAGCATCGAGCTCAGTAAGCTGTGACTTGGTTGCGTCATGAGAGTTGTGTAATTCGCACAAAGTTGTTGTCGCACCTTCGAGCTTCACTTTGTAGTCATCCCGAGAAATTCCAGCCTGAGTGAGAGTGTCCTCAAGGACCCTGTTCCTTGCTGAGAGTTCTTTGGCTAACTTAACAGCTCCAGCACTCTCTTCTTTCTCGAGGCGCAAGCTTTGGAGTTCAGATTCCATAGCCGCAATTGAATCCTGAGCTTTCTTCAAGTCAGCAGACTGAGCTCCGGCCTCTCCGACCTGTAGCTTCGTATGGAAGGTCTCTACCATACGATTAAATTCAGAGGCTAACTGTAACAATTGTAAGGCAAAAGTTAAGACTATTCAAAAGTGGCACAACAGAATGCAGCTATATTTGGTAACAAACAGGGTAAACACACAACCTGTGCAAACGCACCGGCGAAGCGAAGGTAGTTATCGCGATCGTCTTCAGCAAGGTGGTCGATGGTAGGGAGATTAAATCCCGGTTTCCTAAAGTGACGAAGGAAATGAGCAATGGATGGGGGATCCTCCGTGATAAAGCAATCCGCATTGTACACGTACTCCCAATAATGCTTCCGCTTCTTGAAACTGTTTTGGGGTATGACTCCGTCCATGGGATCCTTCCTCTTGTTTGTAGCTAGGTCGGTTCCCGGAGGAGGAGTGTACAGAACACTCGGCTTTGGAGCAGTAATGACAGCCAGGGCACGAGAAGGTCCAGCCTTCACAGGAGGAGGCGTGCTTTTCACAGCTAAGACAAAATTCCTCGGACGTGGACGCTCCGTATTGACAAACTTTGACCCTCCCCGTGGGATGACATCGCAATCTTCGGACTAGGTCTCAGGCGCCGCGGTAGACTTCTCACGTTGACGTTGAGCCCTACGTTCTGCTCGGTAGCCTTCTGACATGGTCCCTGAATGTGTTTGCAAAAAAAAAAGAATGTGTTTGCAAAAAAAGAA